CACACACACACACACACACACACACACACACACACACACACACACACACACACACACACACACACACACACACACAGAGAATGGGGCCCAATCAAACAGAATTACAGTTCATTACATTTCCCTCATTAAAAAGAGATAACTCCGTGACACGCTTCCGCTCCAACTCCCACCCATCACTTCTCCCTTCCAACTCACATCCTTCACAGAGAATTTGCTCATTCCAAATAGCTCCAAATTTAAAAATTCTTGTTTAAGAATTTTTATTTCAATCGGGGAGGTTCAGAAGCTAGAGCTGCACGAAGTTGGAAAAATGCTGGATTAATTAACAATAGATCAAAGATCAAAACAGCGTGCTATGACCTCGGCTCACTACAGATCAGTAAAATTACTGGATTACAGGAAAATTACCCAAAAATCATCTGGCGAAGGTATGCGGTCGATGTGAATGGCTGCATTAAAAATAGATAAGTCTGAAAAATGTTTTAATTCATGGAACATTTGCACAGATTTTACGTGCTGGTGTGTAAAGGCCCTCAGAGTGAACGCTAGACTGACTCCCTGCACCGTCAGGTGGCACAACCTGGTACTGCTCAAAAGCACAGCCTGGTCCTCGTTCAACTTCACCTGAAATCTGCTCAGTGTACAGAGGCTTGGGATATAAAGTCAAAGCAGATGTTTCTTTACATTCTGTAGCTTTTACTTTCTTTTTAAACACAGCTGAGATATTCTCTTTGCCTCCATGTGTATTTACTCTGAGTGATTTTTTGCAGCACCTCATTCTCGCTTATTTAAACCAGACTTCTTCCTGCTCATCCTAACATGTGTCTGTGTGTCAGACAGACAGTGACTGGGAGGAAGAGTTTCGGCTCCAAAGGTTTGTGTGTCTGTGGATGTGTGAGCAGAAAGAAAGTCATCAGGGACACTCACTCCTGCATAGAACATCTTGTTGCGGAAGCGACTGTTAAACTTTTCTGGGTTGGCCTCTGGAAAGACACAATTAGAGAGGCAGAGAGAAAGAAGGAGAATACATTAAAGATGCGACAAAGACAGTGGGATTACAAATGTGAAAACTCACGCAGAGCGGTGCAGAGTAACACGGAGAGACTGACTCATTTGTGCATGCCTGAATGTGTGAATCTGATTCAGTATCCTTTGTAAATTTTTCATTCTGCTCATCTTTCTCTTCTTTTTTTTTTTAACAAAAGCAGAAAATGATCTATTAACTAGGGAGAGGAGGACCTAATGGAACATGAATAGGTGAAAACACAAGGTGAAAATTAAAAAAAAGACTGATATTAAAATAGCTTTCACACACCTCTGGACTCGTGGAACTCCAGGGTGACGTGCGCGTCGAAGCCAAGGCTGAAGTAGTTGTTGAACACGTTCAAGGGCAGCTGAGGATGCAGGAAAAACACTGAAGTGGGCCTCTTTGCATAAATATAATGTAATTTATTCACATAGACAGCTCACATCCTCTTTGAGCATAAACTCTGACCATTTAGCTACTGATACTCATCCAAATTCACACTTTTTGGTAAAGCCCAACTCTTTAAACCCACGGTATAGATATTAACAAGCAAAAACCTCAGAGGCTGAAAAATAAAGCACCAAAACTGCCCTATCTTTATTCCAACAGTGTACCTAATATGGAACGCACACATCCTAACTTCCAGCACAAACTGACCTTCTGTGTGCCCTCCTCTGGCTGGGCAGAGCTCTTTTCTACTAAGAGGTTCCACCTGTCCAGCTGCACCACCGAACCGTCCTCCACATGACACAAAACCTTGGACACTGGTTCATCCGTGTAGCCCTGCAGGGAGGATAGCAAACACAAGACAGAGCCAAATTTAACTACCCAACATCTACACAGTCATCCGTGCAAAAAGGTTTTAATGTTACATTTAATATGCATCTGTGCAAAGTGAGGATAAATGCACACTGCAGAACATCTAAACTATTTGAGTAAGTGAAAATAGGACAAAGATGACATGTTGTAACGCAAACGTTTAATAAAGTGAGATTTTCTTTTTAACTGAATGCTAGCAATGAATAATAATAAAATGCTGGAAAGGTTGTGTAAAGGTTGTGTAGGTTGCTACAAAATGACCCGGTGAAGCATCTGATAACCATTTAGGTTAAATGGAAACTTAACTGGGTATAAAAAGAGGACCTCAGAGCTGCTCGATCTATCAGAGAGACCCAGCCTCTTTAATAACAGGGCAGAATCCAGCATTCATGACAATATGGGAGAGCATTAGAGCATATGGAAGGGGTTGACCTTCACATCTGTAAAGACCCATCAGTGCTGAATGAAAAATTGTGGAGCCATTTTCAGGGAAGTGTTTTTTTTTATATCATTTAGCTAAAAATAAAACTTTACAGTACGACACCAGGTATCAGCTACCTGCAATGCAGTCTACAGATCCCTCCCCATGTGCTTCAACCCCCACTCACACCCCGCTTCAGGTTACCTCAATAGGTCACAATGTCTCACATAGTGGTTTACCCTTAACCCCTGGTGATGATTTAAGACCCTAGTCTTTGTTCACACTTTGGCTCATGTGACAACTCTCATGATCAGTAGCAGGTCAACAAACAAAGGGGAGAAGTCCCACTAGGGGTTAAATATCTCTCAAGACTACTATGACCTGGATGACTGAGAACCTATACAAACATGATAGTTTAAAACCCACTGGGTCATTGGTAAACCATCTAGGGTTCAGTCTTAATTTCACTGACCAATAATTTTCATCGCAGTTTTTTCCCCCCCTCACAAAACATGAGAATAACTAAACGAAAACTAACGGACGAAAACTGATGAAACATAGCGACACTTTCATCAACAACTATAAACAAAATATTCAGAGAGATAAGATCCAATCAGAACTAATTAAGTTGTGCAGAAAGGCGGGACGATTTAGGAAATGATCCAATCAGAATGAAGGTTAGACCTGACAAATGGCATCCGTACAACCAGCTCCCCTGTTTCTCATGAAAACGACAACACTTGGAAGGATTTCAAAATAAGACTTTGTAAACCTTGTGGAGCACCTCTGCTCTGTAAAGACATGACAAACCTTTTCACTTTAGTCAATGAATCAACTTTTGAATTTGGCTCCTATAATCGTAATAATAAAACTACAAGTCGAATAAAACTAAAAGTATTTAGATGTCTAAATTATGACTAAAACTAAATCAAATATTGCAGTAAAAATTAATGCTGCTAGAGTTTGGTTAACACCATGTAAGAGTAACTTCTA